AAATAATCATCGTGGGGCCCACTAATTACTTTTGACGGTTTCAATTGACGTCGGTCTTCCTGGAAATTGTCGCGTTTCCCCGATTACTTTGAACTCTGTTCGGCTCGGCAACGAACGAACTTGACATCGAGGGATCCGGTCGGTTTTCGGGTGATTAGTCTTGAAAACCTATTTGTATATTTATTTATTGCGTATTTTCGCCCCCTTGATTATTGGTTCGTTATTTATTTATTATTATTTTTTATTTATTATTTAATTAATCAGAGCCAAATTAGGTATCAACAAAACTATTATGAGTTATTAGTTTTGCTATGGATAGAATTTCTGGTTATCAGTTATATGTATGCAAATAATATTAAAATTATAAGTTGTACAATTATTTTATATTTTAAGTTTGAACATTAGTAAAACAAACAATACAAAACTATTTAACTGAATATGAATCTTGGTAAAATGTAATAAATAATGTAATTTTTTATAATTGTGAGGGATAATGACCAATTAATTAGCTGGAAAAAAATATTAAATTGCCCTTATATATATTTCCTGAATACGTTGAGCTTAAAAGGCAGTCTCACATGTTTCGTAAGATGATTTGACATATGTTCGTGTTTCGTGCTGACACATATACATGTTTAGTTTTCACTATTAGACTTAAAAATTACTGTAAACTATTTTACCTTTCATTTTCATTAAATTACCATATACCACTCTTCTTTCTTATATATATTATTCATATATTAAGTACTATAAATAAATATTCTTTTTATATAAAATTTTATATTCTTTCTATTTCTATATTAATTTTTATATATGATATGTCAAAGTATATCGTTTAACGTCTCAGATTTGACATCTATATTGCAAATATAATAAAATAATAATTTTATCTATCTTTATAAATAAAATTAAATTTTTTATCAAACCAATTTATAAAGTATCAAATAAAAATACAAGTTATTTAATAACATAATAAAATTTTAATTTATTAATACGCCATAAACTAAATTATGTGTTTGTTTCTTGTATTTTGGATAAAATACAGAAATTAAGTATTGCATAAAATAAATTATAAAACATACTTACAAAATTATTTTTTATTTAAATAAATTATATAAATAACTGAACGTTTTTATATTGTTTAAAATAATAAAGATAAAAGAAATATTATAATTAAAAGTAATAAAATAATTTTGTATATCATAAAGGTAGAACATAATATTCTGTGTAAATTATTATTCTAAATTATTACATGTCATGAATTTAACATACTTGAAAATTTAATAAACGAGAGACACGAGACGCTATAAATATAAAGGGTGAATGGATATAAGTTATTTTTTGATTTATTGGATAATCAAAGTTAATTTTAAAAAGTTGATTGAGTTAAGTTTGAGTAAGATTATGAGTTTATATCAAATAATATTTAAAATATAATGATTAAAGTTGATTTGATGTAAAAATATAAAAAATGTGATTGAAAGTGATGGATAATGAAAACTATGTGAATGTATGAATAATGAATTAAAATTGATGTGATGTGTGATAATGATTGATTGATATTATTTAATTTTAAGAATAATATTAAGAAGGTTGTGTTGAGTTAAAAATTTGGTCAAAAGTGACCAGATAAATTACCAGGATCAAAATATAATCCCAATACACTAAAATTAGATTTGTTAAAAAAAAAAGCGAACAAATTATTATATTGATTTTAGACTAAATAAATTAATTGAAGAAAAAATTTACAATATAACGTTTTATACTTATGTAACTTTCATAGAGCATTTGCTTTAAAATATAATTAATTAGTTTTAATAATAATTATTATATGATAAAATAATTAAACAAATATAATTATTACTCATTAAATAGAATATAACAATTTTTGTTATAATTAACCCTTAAAAAGAGGGAAATTTACCTTAATTCCTTGACCCTCTTTATATGTATACATAGATACATATATATAGAATTAACCCTACCAAATTAAGATTAATTGAATATGAAATGTTTATAAGCTAACCAACTAACTAACTTATGGTGATTACAAAAAACATTGAACACATGTACATTTTATTAATGTTATATTTGGTAAATCGACTGAAAAGTTAGTTGTACTGGTAGGTTATAAGAAAAGTTTAATTTTATAACTGATAGTTTTTTGGTGTTTGTTGAAAAAGTAATGCTATATGTACATAAGAGCATCTCCAATGCTCAATGTTGTAGTACCAAATTACATTCTAAATCAACACATTTACTAATATTACAACTTTTCATCCTCCAATGTACAATGTGATCACAAATATTGTGATGATGTGGACATAATTAATGTCTACAATGTAGAGAAGAATGTGGTTCATCCACATTCTCCTCCACACTCTAGTTAGCCAATGAAGAGAAGAGAGAGAATTACTATTACCATTTTTAAGCTACTTAATTATTTGATTAATTTTATTAATTCATATTAAAATTTTAATATTTAGTAAGTAAATAATATTGTAATTTGACTACATTGTGCATTGAAGATGATTTTTTAATTTAATAGTTGTGAACTCAACATTTGTCCTACATGGTTCACAATCTACTTAATTTTTTGACATTTGTCAAAATATATTCTACTACAATATTAGAGCATTGGAGATGCTCTAATAATGTACATAAAGGTGTACATAACACTCACATTGAGTGGGTCCTACCAAAAATAAAAAAAATAAGTGGACCCCACTCCATGTGAGTGTTATGTACACCTCTATGTACATTTATTATATACTTATAACATTTTTCTTGTTGAAAAAGCTAGTTAATGTAACTAATGATGAAAAGTTGGCCGAATTAAAATTTTTAACAAGCTCTTTTAAAAAACTATTTAGAGGCTTATAAAATAATCTTTATTTAAAAAGAAAAAAAAACACTCATCTTTTACCAAATCGGGTTTATTCACAAAAAGCTCAAAAACTATAGTTTTTAAACCCGGCCCGGTAATCGACCCGGGCAGGTCCTTGGGTCACCGGATCACCGGTTCAACCGTCGGGTCACCGGGTCAATTGTTGAACTGGATAACTAATTTTAAAATTTTTAAAATTATATATAGAGTATTTTTGTCATATAAATATACATAAAAGTAACAAAATTAAATATTTTGTGTATAAAACTTGTACATTAAAGTGTTAATAATATATATCTCATGATAAATATTTACCATATAAACATATATACATAGTTTTATTTTTAAAAAATAAAAAAAATAAAAATAAATATATATGGACCGGGTCAACTGGCCGGGTCAATGACCTGAGTCGGCCGGGTCAAGGCCGGGTTTTGACCGGGTCTTTTGTTGCCCGGTCCAAATACCCACCCGGACCGGTTCTGGCTCCGGGTCGACTGGGTCTCGAGTCGACCTGCCGAGCCGGTCCGGGTCACAAAACACTGTCAAAAACTAAGTAAAGAAGCTATAAGTTGTCTTATGGTGTTTAGTAAACTGTCTCTTTTTTATTTTTATTTTTTTAAATAAAATATTGCAGGTAATACAAACTTTCATGTGGTGAAAATAATCAAAAAAAATTGACAAGGCTAGGATCAATGAACACAACCAATAACCAACCACTACAGCTCATTATAATATCCATGTATGCACAATTTTGGCAAATGAACATATATGTTTAAGTGTAATTTGGAGGACCAACCCGTATAAAGTTTACTTCCATCTATTTACCTAATTGGAAATGCATATTTTCACCATTTTTTCTCCATCCAACGTGAGATCACCAAAATTTGGCTCTTCCACTTTTAAAACTCCACAGTAAAAAGAGAGATATGAAAGGATAAGGTCGAAATTATGCAAGCTGTATCAACCTATCACATCACTCCAATTTTTTCCCCCGAAAAAATAAAATAAAATAAAAATCTCAAGCATATAAAAGTATAAGAAAGCCTGAAAGGAAAATTAACCAACTAATATGGTAGCATGATATAACTAATTTTAGGAAATTGATTAAAATCAAACCAATACAACTGGCCAGTCTAGTGTTTGTAAACACAAATTTACAACTAATGGTAGCATGATGTAACTAATTTTAAGAATTTTCTTAAAATCAAACCAATACAACAGGCCAGTCTAGTGTTTGTAAACACAAATTTACAACTTATGATAGCATGATATAACTAATTTTAAGAAATTGCTTAATATCAAACCAATACAACTGGCCAGTCTAGTGTTTCTAAGCACAAATTTACAACTAATGATAGCATGATATAACTAATTTTTAAGAAATTGCTTAATATCAAACCAATACAACTGGCCAGTCTAGTGTTTGTAAACACAAATTATAACTAATGGTAGCATGATATAACTAATTTTGAGAAATTGCTTAATATGAAACCGATACAATTGGCCAGTCTAGTGTGTGTAAACACAAATTTATTATGTGAGACGCTGACAGTTAGACGGATCGATCATCACATTTGTTTAAAAAAATACATACATAATTCATGAAATGTCATACATTTTCATTTTTTTTAGTATGACATTTTATTTGGAATGTATATATATCAATTCAAAAATTATAATTGTCCAACCGTTGTGTATATCTAACAACAGCTTTATTCACGTATAAATCAGTTCACTACAATAATTGATTACTAATAGCTATCAGGAATTAAAAAATAAAAATAGATAAAAAGTGGCAAAATTTGTTTAGCAGACAGTACTGGGTAGTTGGTACAGTGCTAGAATTGTCACAGGCAAATAATATGAAGCATGAAAGTTATATGTCCAAGTGAGTCAATAAAGCATGCCACATCCATTTTTGCTGTATAAATTTATCTTTTTTGCTCCCCCCTTGCTCTTTCCAAAGCTGCGTGAGCGTGGGAAGCACGCGCTCAGGCGCGCAACGCCCCTCCTCCCTTCTATATATAGCCCCCCTAACTCGTCTCGCTCTCCCAAACACTCGTAGTACACAAAGACACAGACACACACAATTTGCTCTCTCTTTCTCTCTCTACCAGATATTAATAATATAATAATAATAAATAATATTAGCATTATGCCTGAGGCGCCCAAAGAATCCGGCGAGCAGAGCATGACCGAGAACAACCGAAAGAAACTGGAGTACATCGAGGACGTGACCAAGAACGCCGACGAGGTCCAAAAGCGTGTCTTGTCCGAGATACTCTCCAGGAATGCCGATGTCGAGTACCTGAAGAGGCACGCCCTCGACGGGAGGACCGACCGCGAAACTTTCAAGAAAATTTTGCCCGTCGTCTCCTACGATGACATCCTGCCTGATATCAACCGCATAGCCAACGGCGACACCTCCCCCATTCTCTGCTCCCAACCCATCTTCGAGTTCCTCACCAGGTCATTTCCTATTTTATTACTCTTTATCATCATATAAATAGTTAATTAAATCTAAAGGCTTATTAGATAAAATTTTATTTTGTTTAATTAAAATATTTTTCATCATTCTTGCATGAGATCTTTTAAAAGGACGCCTTTTCTTTTTCTTTCCCTCTTTTTTTTTTATTCTTTTTTTTACTTTAATATATATGTGTGTGGGGATGGATGCAGTTCGGGGACATCTGCCGGTGAACGCAAGATGATGCCGACGATCGAAGAGGAGATGGGGCGGAGGTCCCTTCTCTACAGCCTACTGATGCCGGTGATGAGCCAATCAGTCCCGGGGCTAGAAAAGGGCAAGGGCATGTACTTCCTCTTCATCAAATGCGAGACCAAAACCCCCGGCGGCCTCCCCGCCCGCCCCGTCCTCACCAGCTACTACAAATCCACCCACTTCAAAAACCGCCCCTTCGACCCTTACACCAACTACACCTCCCCCAACGAGGCCATCCTCTGCCCAGACTCCTACCAAAGCATGTACGCCCAGATGCTCTGCGGCCTCTGCCAGCGCCTCGAAGTCCTCCGCGTCGGCGCCGTCTTCGCTTCAGGCTTCATCCGAGCCATCCGCTTCCTCGAGAACCACTGGTCCATCCTCGCCAAAGACATCCGAACCGGAACCATCAACCCGCTCATAACCGACCCGTCTGTCCGGGAAGCCGTGACCCGGATCCTCAAACCCGACCCGGATCTCGCCGCCTTCGTGGAAACCGAGTGCGGTGGCCGGGACTCGTGGCAGGGGATAATCACCCGCATCTGGCCAAATACGAAATACGTGGACGTTATAGTAACCGGGACCATGTCCCAGTACATCCCGACACTCGAGTTTTACACGGGCGGCGGCCTCCCCCTCGTCTGCACCATGTACGCCTCCTCCGAGTGCTACTTTGGAGTGAATCTCGACCCGCTCTGCAAGCCCAGCGAAGTCGCCTACACCCTCATCCCCACCATGTGCTACTACGAGTTTTTACCGGTCAACCGCAACAAGAAGGACTATCAGGAGCTCGTTGACTTAGTCGACGTCCAGCTCGGCCACGAGTACGAACTCGTCGTCACAACCTATGCCGGTAACCAATCCAATCCAATCCCACCAAAATTATTTAATAATTATTAGGTTCATTTACTTTTTGCTAATTGTTGTTAGTGGATTAATTAATGCAGGGCTGTACAGGTATAGAGTCGGGGACGTGCTGCGCGTGGCGGGATTCAAGAACAACGCCCCTCAGTTCAACTTCGTGTGCCGCAAAAACGTGGTGCTGAGCATCGACACGGACAAGACGGGGGAGGTGGAGCTGCAGAATGCGGTGCGGAGTGCAGCGGGACACCTGGCACCATTTGGGGCCCGTTTGATTGAGTACACGAGCTATGCGGACACGAACACTGTCCCGGGGCATTATGTGCTTTACTGGGAGCTCGGGCAAGGGTCGGAGGGAATTCCGGGATCGGTGCTGGAGGAGTGCTGCCTGGCGGTGGAGGATTCGCTGGACACGGTGTACAGGCAGAATCGAGTGTTTGAGGCGATTGGGCCACTGGAGATCAAGGTAGTGGAGAGTGGGACGTTTGATAAACTGATGGACTATGCGATTAGCCAAGGGGCGTCGATTAACCAGTACAAGACTCCGAGGTGTGTTAAGTACGCGCCACTGGTGGAGCTTCTTAACTCTAGGGTCGTGGGGAGTTATCTGAGCCCCGAGTGCCCCAAGTGGACTAGCCCGGGACTCAAGCAGTGGGGGAACAACAACAACAGCAGCAGCGACAATAACAGTAATAATAATATTATGGTTAATAACATGGATTGAAATATGTCAATTAGATCAAGAAAANTTTTGAATTTTATAGTAACTTTTAACTGTATTAATGTTATTGTAGAATCTTGATTAGCAGATGTGTACCAAAAAAGTTCCTGCTTAAAAGGCTGTACCTCCTTTCTTTAAATGCCAAAAAAAAATATTGCCAAGTGCCAGGCTGCCTTTTCTTGTAAAAATGGGGTTTGTTTACTTTATTCTATTTTTTCTTTAATTTATTTTATTATTTTATTTCTTTCGCATTTCCAGCCAGGATTCATGCCTACTTAACTTAACTCGCATGGGATGTATGCTAAAACTGTAGCACGGACCGAAATAAATCCCGAGTTGGGTGATCCATGCTTTTGATGGCAGTTTTTCTTTAATATATCATTTTAGAAAGCCAGCCTACTTTATGCCCTTCATCATTGAACTTAGCTACAATTAAATAAATAGATTATCTTGACAATTGTTACAATGACCGAGTAAATAAAGGCCCACAAGTCCATAAATATAACAAGCTTGGGGTTCCACATTTCTACCACTTTCCAAACCTTGGAGAAAAATGTGACCATGATGATGGTGAAAGTTAAATATCATAAAACTAAATAATTAAAAGTCATTACTACGAATGCTTACCATAATTAATCGAGATTAATGAATACAAGCATCCGGAACTAGTCTATATACTTTCCGTAAAACTTAAGCCATCCATAATCTATTTGAATACAATAAACAAGTCAAGCAGAGCTTAAATCGATAACTAAATAAGTTCAACTTCTTTTGTCAATATTAACAAGTTAAACCATGTAAAATTATATATAAAAAATATATATTTAAGTCTTAACGAGCAGCTGTCAACTTTAAGCTAGCTAGGTTAGTTTATTATAACGAGTTATGAGTTGAGTCAAGCTCACCAACAACTCACTTACTTAGTTTAAGAGCTCTACCACAAAATTTTTAATTCTTTATAATTGGTCAAATGCCCAAAAGCGAGGAGGCTCCCATCCTTATGCAGTTATGCGCGTATATTGTTTGTTCACAAGCTTTATTTTTTTTAGAGGGATGAAGTTGTAATTAAAGTGGACCTTTTTTTTTTATTTTAGCAATATTATTATGTCTTGGTATTGAGGATTATCGGCTCGAGCCCTTTTGCTTTCGTAGTTGAAAGTACACATAAACTGTTGATTATTAAGGCAAATAGTGACTAATCACGTCATACAAATCTCACGTAAGTGTCCTGAAAAGAAGAGACAATGTAAAGGCCGAGACATTTGTTGACTGGGTTAAAGTCGAGATGAAAGGCGCAATCTCTAATCCCATAAACCACAAAATGATATATTAAAAAATATAGAAACCGAAAGAAAATAATGTAGCTTAATGTAAATTAGTACAGTGTAATTAGATAATTAGATCGCAACTGAAACATGTAAATTAGGACAGTGTAATTGGATACTACTAATTTATTACAATTTCAATTCTTTAGGTGTCTTATTCATTATATTATTTTAACATGCAGATAATGTAACATAAATTTTTGTATGAGACAACCCAATGGTTAGTGAATGGACTCATCATATATATATATATATATATATATTTAACAAAATGCATACTTATATTGTTAAATTTTAATTTTGCTTCATGTTTCTTTTCTTTTTTCTTTTTTTTTTTCTTTTTTTTTTCAAAAGTATCATTTTTTTTATGAAAGTAAGCATTTTTCTAATATATTTGAGCATACACAAAAAGGAAGGGACTCGTAAAATGCCTGAGGCAGATAGAGGTTCCACACATCTTTATTGATCTATGAACAAAATCTATCCGTCTTGATCGAAAAATAATCAAGAGAAAAGAATGGAAAAATCAGCAGATTTCTCGAAATAAGATAGATGAAATACAAATTATGGATCAACTAAACTCTGGACTTGTTAAGTTTGACTAACAATTACCCATATTGTAAAATCACATAACTTTTGTTACGTTTTTTTAAAGCAAGTACAAAAATGAAAATATATTATAACTACATAACAATTAGATTTATCTAACATTATTCTTTTTATTATTTATACAATTTGTTAAATTAAATATTTGATATACATATGTAGATATATAGATAGTTATTATGAATCATGATTATTGATTAGGGTTCATTTCACAGCCAATTTCATAATATATTANAAGATGGAGAAACTAGGCAGCCGACATACCAAGAATTAATTATAATAAAAATGATAAAAATAGAATTAGACCGAGAAAAAAAAAAATGTATATGAACCCTATCTTCAAAAACAAGGTGGGGCTAATTATAAGATCGACGACTTGATGCAAGTACATGCATGTTCTGGCTTAAATTCTGGAAAAAGTAAAGTGAAATGAGGGATAAGGGCACATTTATTAGATGCAGAGACAAAAAGGACTGAAACATAAAAAAGGATCAAAACAAAGGACAGATAAGATAATGATGATGAGTTCCTATTCAGAAATTGTTCCCCAGTTTTTGCTATGCACACCATAAAGAGTCAAAAACCCAAAGTAATTTTTTTCCGAAAGAAAAGGCCAATCCCCTATAGACAACTCCATCAAAGTTAAAGAGGAAACAAAAAAAGGCTGATAAAACATCTGTTAAGAAGAAATTTTTTCATTAAAGGTGTGGTGTAAAGAAAAAGGGCTGAGAAACTATTTTGGATTTTTGTCAGGAGTCTGATTCTTTTTTTCTTTCTTTTTCTTATTAATAACTTTTATTTTTCACCCTTTTTCTTCTTCTTGTTGATGGTGCAGTGTACTGTATAAAGATCAGCTACTGAGTACTGGCATATTCTATCCTACATGGCAGAACACATTAGGCTTTCACTTTTTGGTTAACATGGTACATAATAACATATCCATAGGGGTATGTATTTATTCATCCAATTTTTTCATGTTTTGAGAATAGAAAATGTGAAAATTATTATTATTATTATTATTATTTTTAAGATCTTCCAAACAAGATAGCGGTTTAATTTGATTGATGACTGAAACTATATAAATGTATGATCTAGAAAGTGAAAATTATCAGGCCATCTAAAACAGTCATATGCATAACACTTTTGTATGTACTGTCTATTAAAATATGATATTAAATATAAGAATATGTATAGCAGTTCTCCTTCCATTAAATTATATTCTTCCTATAAATAAATGAACTGTAACAGATGAAAGACACAGTATGCGATAGGCAACATGTATTGTTTAAGATGTATGATCATAGTAAAAACATCTATCCTCAAAATTGTAACAATATTATTTTATTTAAATATTTTGTCTTCGTCCATACCAAAACGAGTAAGGATAACAGGATAAGATAGAGAAGTTTACCCATAATACATCTAAATCAATGTGTCTTATTGGAGCAAGAAGCATTAGAATAAATATTTTGAATTTTTATTTCAAAAATTAGTATGTTCAATAAATTTTAAATTTTAATAACAACTATACCGATAATATATTTAACCGTTAGGAATATGAAACGAATTTAAAAAAATAATAACACCACAATCTAATACACAGAGAATCTATCGNAAATATACACAGAGAACATACAAATCCAAAGCTACAGACTATTCATATTTCATTTAATTTAATGGCCGTGTCGTGTCAGTCCCAAACAATGTGGCTAATTAACTATCTTGTCTTTTCCTATCTAATTCCTAATCTATTACTCAAAGCATCACACCTAATGTTTTTATTTTATTTTAATTTTGTTTTTAAATATAAAGTTCAATTCATGTTGGCAGCGAGTATTCTACATTGGACAAATATGATAAACAAATTAACGGTAAAGAAATTAATATATGACGACTATAGTCTACTGCGTAAATTATTGGTCGATTATTAGCTACGTACTTAGCCAAATAATGGCTTATCTTATCATGTCAATTTATTTACTTAATTAATATATTAAAATATCAAGTGAAATACGAGATTCAACGTAAATGAAAACAAATTGGAAATGAAAAAGAATTTGGGCCAATTTAATTTAATTTGTGGCCCACATGCCAAGCAGTATCGTCACACCACAAAGCGTAAAATCCGGAAAAATTATAAGATTAACCCGGATGGTAGGGGACCAAAGCTCTAAGGTATCGACACGTGTACGTTGACCTTACCTCACATTTCTGTTTCGTTTTGTCTTCCTTGCATGAGATGAGGTGGTGCGTCGCAAAAATTTAAAATTGGTCCTATAATTTATTTAAAATATAATTTTTTACTTTGTTGTTCACTATTTTGAAATTTGGTCCAAGAATTTAATAATTTAATAAATGTTTATATTTTTTTTTACTCGCACCCATTGGATAAAAAGGACGTAATGTGGCATTCAGTCAGCAGCACCCTCACTGTCAAGTGACATACAACTGGATAAAATTGAAAAAACAAATACAACTAGTAGCCTTTGAAGTTGTAAATGAAGTCGTCGAGCTGACCAATGAAGTAGGTGTTGCGAGAGTAGTCGACGGTAACGTGGCTCGCGTCGGCAGGCAAAGGGATGAGACTGTTGAGTGGGGCGAGGAAGAGGCGGCAATAGGTGGTGAGGTCGTATAAATGGGACCGGAGCAATGTGCACGACGGAAAAAGGATCGAAGCAATGTGCTAGAGTTGGTTTTGAATTTTGGCTGAGGGTGGCCGACCGAGTGGGCTAAGGTGGCAGGTGTCAGACTGAGCAAAAAGGACGGGAACTGCCCAAAAAAAATCGAAAGGCAGCATCGAGCTGAGCAAAAAGGTCGTCGTACAAAATTGTCGATTCTAGAGATGGTATATGACGTCGGGTGCGCAGCGGCCCGAGGAGTCAAGAGGTCCTCAAGGTTTGGTTGATTGAAAAATTGAAGAAGAATACCAGAATTTTCGTCAAAATGATGTTGTCAGCTACATGTTATTCTATCTTTATAATAGATTAACAAAATTCATATAGTATAGTTAAATTTATCTTCAAAAACAACAACGACTCACCAAAAATTCAGTTTTTCAATATATTTTAATAATAATTTCTTCTCATCAAGAAAATTGATTTGCTGCATGAAANCACACAGAAAAAAAAAAAAAACAAAAAACAAAATAGTATGACAATAATTTCACGTCTCTGTTAAAAAACGTATTGAAGCCATTAGTTGCTCTCAATTTATAAAAAAAGAGTCCACCTACAAAAAGGTAGAAGAACAAGTAGAAGATTGGAATCGACAGAAAAAATCGAAAGGCATGCGTCGGGCTAAGCAAACGGGTCTCTGGAAAACATCGTCGGTTCCAGAGATTGTGGACTTCGCTAGAAGCACAGTGGCCCAAGGAGTCCGACGCTGTCCTTGGATTTCAGTGGGTCGCCGTGAATCGCCGAAAAATTGAAGAAGAAGACCGGAATTTTCTAAATCTAAAATTATTGACCTGAGAAACTGACGGCCTTACAAGTAGAATTTTCACTGATAAGTTTGGAGTGAACGAGGACGAGAAGAGCTTCAAGATGATGTAAAAGAATTTCCCATCGAAGGAGGTCGGCCGGCGAACGGCGGATGCTCGTTTTTAATTATCATTATCCCAAAACCAACTCTCTTGAAACGACAAATCACTCTCCCATGTGATTCTTCTTCTATCTACATCAAACTGAAATCTAGGTTTGAAATGTGGGATATTAGGAATCCAGGGGGACTGCCACACATTGATTGAATTTCCATCCCCTACTAGATATCTGACCCCTAACCTAAATCCCTCTCTGGCCCCTAGCCAACTGCTCCACATCCATGAATCACCACTCTTTTTTTAACACTCAGATTTAAATACGTACCTTTTAAGAGGTTCATGAGTAAGTTTGTTTGAGTGAGCGTTCTCTACAACCGTCTGCCTAAAAGAGCTTGGTTAAGAACTTTGAAATTAATGAAACCCACCCCACCTTCTAGTTTAGGTTTAGCTACAAACTCCCACCTTGCCCAATGAACTCTCTTTCCCCCTATCTCAGACTTCTCCCGCAAAAAATAAGCTAGCACACTGTTTAAGTCATCACACAAGGATAAAGGGATTTTAAAACAAGACATGGAATAGGCACGTAGTGCACCTAAAACAGTCTTAATGAAGACCTCTTTGCCAGCTTCACTCAGTAAATTGTTTATTAAAATTCTCGTTTTTTTTTTAACATTTTCTAAAATAAAGTTTTGCCTTTTAGATCTTCCAATTTCTAGAGGTAGCCTCAAGTAATTAGAATATTTTACTCAAAAGATCCAATTTCACTTTAAACATGTCTGCTTTATAGCTAAAGTTGGTATTTTTTAGAAAGAATACAGAGTACTTCCCCATATTAACTTGCTGATAAGAAGAACATCCATACTCATTCAAGGTATTCAGAATAACCAAAGCATGGTGAGTATCAGCTTTACAGAAGAGAAAGGAANAAAAAAAAAAAAAAAAGAGAGAAACAGATGGGGAGTTCCTACTGATTTTCAGACCTTTAAAAGACAAGTATTGACGGTTATAACCGCCAGCCTTTCCCCCGGTAGGTTCTTTTTGCATTGCCGGGATGCCGGCCCTCGGTTGGTGTTCATGTGTGATTTTACACCATATTTATTGAGTATCTAGAGCTTAGTCATTGCATTATTGGTGTTTAAATTGCACATTTATGCTTTAATTCTATATTTGTTGGAAAGGTATTACACGTGCTCGTTTTGTAGATATTTTCACGTATTTTTAGAGCTTGTGGCTATTGGAGGCGCATTGTGAGTACCTAGGACCCCCGAGATGATGATGGATTGATGCACGGATGAGAAGAATGGAAGAAACGAGCAAAACGGACAAAACCGAAAGTGCTGGGATGTGACACGACCCGTGACACGGGCCCCATGCCCGTGTCAGGTGGCCGTGTCACGTGCACAGGGAATTCCGAGGCTTATTACCTGACACGACCCGTGACACGGACGGTGACACGGGCGTGTCAGGTCGTGTCGCGACGCGGGCAGTTTTTATTCCTTTGCCTTTTTCGGTTAGGAAAGGACTTTTGGACCTATAAAAAGACATATTTACCTGATTTTGAACCCTAGAAGGTGATTACGCAAGGAAGGGAGCTAGAGAATACACAAGAGAAGCAATTGAAGAGAAGAGAAGATCAACCACAAGCCTACTAGTTTTTCTTTCTCTCTTTTGAACTTATTCCCTCATGTTGATTTTGAATATGTCTATGTATTTGATTTCAAACATGAGTAGCTAAATTTCATTGATTCTAAGACATGGTAGTAGATTAATATGTTGGGATTTTGGATGATTTATCATAGTTGATTATTTTCTTTTGAACCCTATTCAAATATTTTGTTCTTATTTCATGTTTAGAACTTGATCAATTCTTTTACATGTTTGACAATATTGTTCATAATTCGAGAGATGAGTTCAATATTAGGTCCTTAATATTTGACACAATTTACTTGCTTGAATCGAGAGGTTAGTAGGTCATTGCGAGGATATTAGATCTTTTGTATTAATTGGAGTTGAATTGCATGTGTTGAGTGGAGACGCTAATATATGTGATTTAATCTACGGTTCTATTGATCTCGAAAGGGACGATAGGCTAAAATTGTGATCATCTTATAGGGTAGATAAAGAAAATAGTTAGTTGTGATAAATTTGAAGGAACCCAACTGTTAATTGAACCCATAGTCTTAGAATCTACCATTCCCATATATTCTTCTTAAGTGTTTTTCTAGTTGTTTTCTTATTCTTGCTTATTTCCTTTGATTATATTTCCTTAGTTTAGTTAATCCATCTCATATTCGGTCGTCTAAATAAAATCAACACTATCATAATCTAGTAATTGGTATAATAATTATTTGGTCTCTTGGGATACGACCTTGCTTGCCACATACTACAAGCGAAGCCGTACACTTGCGGTCGAGCTTTAAAAATATAGGCGAACAAGTTTTTGGCGCCGTTGCCGGGGACTAATATAATTATTTATATCAATATTACGATAGATAGTGGAAATTTTAATTTAGATATTTATTTATTTTTTTTTTTTATTTTTGGTGGCATAATCTCTCGTTTTCGTGATTTCAGGAAGTGCATGTTAACTCGTTCTAAAGGTGTACAACTACCACCCCTGATTGACGAAGTTGAAGCATTCGCTAGACGCAATAGTGCAACGACTAGAAAAAGAAGGGGCAATCCAGAGTGCACAATGGACGAGCAAGAGCAAGAACAACCGAGGCAAGCAATTCGAGACCACTTTCGACCTCAGTTCAATAGGAATTTTGGCGGGATCGCTCATATACCCGTCAATGCGAATAATTTCGAACTGAAGCCCTCCTATATCTCGATGGTGCAAAACAACCAATTTGGTGGACACCCGACCGAGGATCCGAATCAACACTTGACCCAGTTTTTGCAAATCTGTGATTTGGTCAAGTACAATGGTGTCTCTGAGGATGCGATACGGTTGCGTCTATTCCCTTTTTCTCTAAGGGATAAAGTTCGGAGTTGGTTGTCAATGATATCTGATGGGAGCATTACTACTTGGGAGGAGTTGAACCAGAAGTTCCTGCTTAAATATTTTCCTCCAAGCAAGTCGATGCAACTCAAAAGCGAGATTACACAGTTCAGACAGCAAGACTCGGAGCCTTTATACGAGGCGTGGGATCGATTTAGGGAATTGTTGAGGAGATGCCCTCGACATGGTTTTCCGGAGGACCAACAACTTTGTTTTTTCTATAACGGGTTGTTGGGCCAAACGAGAGCCTTTGTAGATGCGGCTGCTGGAGGAGCTCTATTGGCTAGAACACCGGAGGAAGCGTCCAACTTATTGGAAGAAATGGCTGTGAATAGTTATCAGTGGCCTTCTGAGAGGTCAAGCATTCGACGTGTGGCGGAGGTGACGTCTTCTGATCCAATTAAGGAGCTAGCGGCTCAGATGTCGTCGTTGACGACGAAATTGAATGCTTTGACGAAAGGAGCTGATGAGGTGAGTGGAGGACAAGGTAATGTGTTACCGCCGGATCCCTTAGAAGAGGCCAATTTTGTCAATAACCGGAACTTCAACAACTATCGCTCCAATCCGATGCCGGGTTTTTATCACCCCAATAATAGGAATCATGAAAATATTTCCTATGGAAATACGAAGAATGTGCTCCAACCACCACCGGGGTTCAAGGTGGTGAATGGCGAGATTGTCGAAGCGAAGAAGACGGACATGGAAAATATTTTGGCAACCTTCATGAATGAGACGAGAAGTCGCTTTAATAAGGATGAGGAGAAGCTAGACAAGATAGAGAGTCATGTGACTCAACTGGCTACGACAATGGGGGCTCAAATGAAGTATTTGGAGACACAAATTGGCCAACTGGCCAAAGTCGTAGGGAGTCAGCACCAAAGGGGTCAATTTCCTAGCAATACGGAGTTGAATCCTAAGGAGCAATGTCAAGCTATCCGTCTTCGGAGTGGAATGGAGTACGAAGGACCGAAGATGCCGAAAGACGAGAAGAGTGAGCCAACGGGGAAAGAGAGCTCAGAGCTAAGCAAAAAGGAAGAGGAAGTTCGTGAGGAATTAGAGGAAGAACCGAGTGTCATATCGAAAAAAGGGGCTGAGAAGCTTAAATCTACTTCTAACTCTGATTCTCATAAACCTCCCATTATTTTACCTTTTCCCCAACGATTTCAAAAGAAGAAATTAGATGCTCAATTTGCTAAGTTTTTGGAAATTTTTAAGAAAATTCATATAAATATTCCTTTTGCAGAGGCCTTGGAACAAATGCCAAATTATGCGAAATTCTTGAAGGATGTGATGTCTAAGAAGAGGCGAGTGGAGGAGCATGAGACAGTGAACTTGACCGAAAAGTGTAGCGCGATTCTCCAAC